CTTCTGCTGCTTGACGGCTGCATGTATCTGCACCTTTATGTGTGGATTCACACTGAACGCAGCAAGCGTCAAGCAGTGGAGCAGTAACCAACCAGCGAAGCGATATTTTTTACGCCACTGTAAATATCGTCACGCTGGTTAGTTGCTATTCCGCTGCTTGACGCTTGCTGTATCCAGTGTGAATCCAGCATTTGTCGATATCTAATTTTATTCAACATTGATACTTAATGATAATTTTATTAAACTTAAAAATCATATCTTTTTGGTTATACCACCGACGAGATATTATTAAAGACCGTTAACCCTGGGCAAATTTTCGGCGGTATAAAAAGGGCTCCAAGGGCCCGGAGGTAACTCAAGAACGCTGACATTACCGATAATTGATATAAATTTGCTATTATTAACATAAATATTTGACTCATGCATTATTAAATTCATGATTTTTTATTACATAAGTAAATATGTCCCATAAGTAAATATACATACTTGTAAAGCTGTAATATCCTATATATTGCAAAAAAATCGCAATTTTTTCTCTGCAATTATCATCATTATTGATAATCAAACTTTGATGATAACTTTGAAATCTCAATTTTAAAGAAAAATCAAGTATTATTCAGTTATAAATGCATAAATACATCTACTAAACTAATAAATCATAAAATTAGTACAATATTATCAGTTTTTAACTCTTAATCACTTCAATATTCACAAGGATGCGAACTCTCATGAGGATGACGGTCTTTAATAGTATCTCGTCGGTGGTTATACTACAATATATCTACATTTTGTATGTACATACATCAAAATATGCAAAAGGATGCAAAAAGGATAACATTAAGACATATATGTGTGTGTGTGTGTGTGTGTGTGTGTGTGTGTGTGTGTGTGTGTGTGTGTGTGTGTATGTGTGTGTGTGTGTGTGTGTGTGTGTGTGTGTGTGTGTGTGTGTGTGTGTGTATAGGTATATCTCTATTATATAGATAAATTTATATTTGAGTACATGACAGTAGCCAAACAAAAGATAATGTTTTCCGACTTAGCACACATCCACAATCATATGCTAAAAAAATGACTACGCTTCATATTTGATCACACTACAAAGTAGTATTAGTGCTCTGCAGGTTGTCCTTTATCGTTCTCTGGCTGTACCTCAGGTATATGTGGCCAAACCGTTGGTTTATCAACATTTATAGCAATATCCGGATAGGCATCATGAAAATCTTCCATCGTCATTTCAGAGAATGGCAATAAATTCTTTACTCTATCGATTTCCTTATTGGCAGTGGCGATGCGTTGATTCGAATCAGTGATAAATTCCTCGATTTTTATATGCTATAATATACCCTTAATTTAGAAAAGAGCTTAAACACAAAATACAAAGTAAATTTTATAATATAATATAAATGCTGTACCACTTTCTTTTCTTCAGTTTCAATTTCAGAAGTATATTTATCCACTGGATATGGCACTTTGACAGATTCATATTCCTTTTGAAACTTATCGACTAATCCAGCTATTGGAATACTTTTCTTATAGTACGCCCAATTGATTTTTGGAGGAGCTTCTGGATTTGCATTCATTCTATAGATGGAAAAATATAAAGAGAAACAGATATATATATATATATATATACACATATTCCTATTTACAATATTCCTTAATGTACTGTAACAAGGAAACATATTGTTTTTATATTCCAAGGATGATACTTGAACAAAATAATTCCATAAATATTTTATAAAAGGCTAAACACATACAACTGATATGATGTCTCAACAGATGTTTTAACAGATATATGGAATGGCACAAAGTTAATGTGAGGTTACTCCAACAAGGACAGAGCTTATGTATGGAGAGTTTAAATAATTCTCAGCAAATAGAGAAAATCTTTCATCCGAAATAATAAATTTTTTCGTATAGTGCATGTACATCCAGTTAAAGGAACATTTAATTGTTATCAGAAAAAGGAGACCTAGGCATATTATATAATGATGTGCAACATGAATCAAATTTCGAAGAAAGAAGATATGAAGAATGACTGACCGTCGCAAATACTGATCAGATTTAGATTTGAAAGCGGCGAATGTAGTTTTTTCCGTTTCTGGAATTTTTTCGGCAAGCGCCGACCAATTGATCGTCTTGATCGCCCTGCGTGACATATCTCGTCGCGTGTTTACTACACTGATGGATGCAATACACGTACTACTTGCACGTAAATATATTCTCTCTCGCCAGTCTCGCCTCTCTTGTATTCCCCGATCAAGCCAATTTCTTTAGAGAAATGGAGACAACTGAAAATAGTAGCTGCAGAGAGGAACCTGAGAGAGGCAATGCCAGCTTAAAACCTGTAACCGCGAAATACTGCCGCGCACTATTGCCCTCTGAAAAGGTGGATGTAAACTAAATAGCTCTGAGGGTAACACGTCCACTTTTCTGAGGGTAACACGTCCACTTTTCTGAGGGTAA